GGTGCTGCCTTATGTTCCTGGCTGCTTCCCTCCTATCCACCTCCATGCTAATGGTCTGGGAAAAGCAGCAGAAGATGGCCCAAGTACTTGTAAGCCTTTGCTACCCATGAGGGAGACCTGGAAGAAGCTCCTGGATCCTGGCTTTGGCCTGGCCCGGTCTCTGCCATTGCAGCCATCTGGGAGTGAACCAGCAGATATAAAATTCTCTCTCTCTCTCTCTCTCTCTCTCTCTCGTTGTGTGTGTGTGTCTCACTTTCAAGTCAATCAGTCAATCAGTCATTGAAAACCATGTGAATCTCTTGTGTTTTTGACATATGTGCCTTTGGCGAATTAGGGTATGTGTATTTGGGAAATTATTCCTTAAATTTTTTTTCTTTTTCTGTGAGAACTTGCAGTATATCTTACAAATATATTTGCAAATATATTTTTCCACAAATGTGGAAAGAGTGAAATTCTGTGAAGATGTGTGATGGGTACCAGTTCACTGAGATTTCACCCTTGAATGAATGGGTTCTTTTTTCTAAAATGTCTTCAAGTAGAACATTTGGATTTATTTCCATGATTTCTTAGTGGCTTCTTTGTGGGTTAAGTGTCATCTTCAAGGTAATTTTCTCTCAAAATTGTGAAGCTCTGGATATACAGTTTTATGATGGAACTTTTGACAGACCCCTTTAACTGCATGCCATTTATACATAGAGGTAATTTGTTTACACTTTTAAAGTGTCTTTGATTATGAGGTGGAATATATATTCTATATCAAGGTCAATTTTGATTAACATGATGTTTTCTGCATTCTTGACCACTATAAGTTGCTCATAACTTATGTGTGAGGTACTATTAAAAAAATAAACAAGTTGAGCTTTTGTCACATCCATTTGCATAACCCATTTAAATGTCAAAAATTCTACACATCCCTAAAGTCTATTTCTAGATGTCTCAGCAGGTCTATTTATCAGAGTGAATTAAGATATAATTATAATATTACTTCACCAGATACTTGCTACATCTATGGATGCTCATATACATTTTTTCTTTGTTCCCTGATGGCTAGTGATATTGAATATTTGAGCATTTTTTCTTGTATTTTTTGACCATTTGTATTTCTTCATTACAGAATTGTTTATTGAAGTCCTTTGCCCCTTTTTCAACTGCATGTTTTGGTTGGTGTTTTAAGTTTCTGGTATATTAGTGATACTATTTCTTTATTGGAAATGTGGTTTGCAAATATTTTTCCCGTTTTGTTGAATGTCTGTTCACTCTATTGATCATTTCGTTTGCTGTGCAAAAGCTTCTCAGTTTGATAAGTCCTGTTTGTTTAGTTTTTGCTTTTGTTGCCTGTCCTTTGGAGATCTTGCCCAGTAAGTCATCCTCTACACCAATATTTTGGAGGTTTCCTGTACATCTTCTTCTAGTATCTTTATAGTCTCAGTCTTAAACTTAGGTCTTTGATCCATCTTGAGTTGATTTTTGTATATGGTGACAGATATGGTTCTAATACATTCTTCTACGTACATACATCCAATTTTGCCAGCTGAACAATTGGAAGAGATCATCTTAACTCCATTGTATGGTCTGAGCACTTTTGTCAAAAATCAGGTGCCTGTGGACCAGCATTGTGGCACAGCAGGTTAAAGCTCTGGCCTTCAGTGCAGGTATCCCATATGGGCACTTGAGTCCTGGCTGCTCCATATCTTCTCAGGCTCCCTGCTAATGTGCCTGGGAAAGTAGCAGAGGATGGCCAAAGTTCTTGAGCCCCTGCACTCGTGTGGCAGGTTGGGAGGAAGCTCCTGACTCCTGGTTTTGAATCAGCTCAGTTCTGGCCATTGTGGCCATTTGGGGAGTGAACCAGTATATGGAAGATATCTCTCTCTCTCTCTCTCTCTCTCTCTCTCTCTCTGTGTGTGTGTGTGTGTGTGTGTCTCTGTCTCTGTCTCTACATCTCTCTGTAACTCTTTAAAATAAATAAAATAAATCTTTAATAAAATCAGTTGGCTTTATGTATGAGAATTAAATTCTTGGTTTTCTATCCTGTTCCATTGATGTATATTTCAGTTTTTTATGCCAGTACCATACTGGTGTTTTGATAGGCATTGCAGTGAATCTATAGATTGCTTTAGGTAGTATAGACATTCTAATGATATTGATTCTTCCGATCCATGAAAAAGGAATATCTTTCTCTTTTTTGTGTGTCCTTGATGATTTCTTTCATCAGTGTTTCATCATTTTTATGTATAGATCTTTCATTTCTTTAGATAAATTTCTAGATACTTTTTTTTTGTCACCTTTGTGAGTGGGATTTCTTTCTTGATTTAATATACAAGAACCTACTGTTTTTGTATTTGTTTATTTTGTAACTTGCAACTTTTCTGAATTGGTTTTCAATTCTAACAGCTTTTGTGTGGATAGTTCAAGTTTTTCCATATCCAATATCTTGTGAACTGCAAACAAGAATAATTTAACTTTCTCTTTTCCATTTTTGATGCCCTTATTTCTTCCTCCTCCCTAATTGCTTTTGCTAAATCTTCCAGTACTATATTGAATAAGACTAGCCAACAGATACATGAAAAATGCTCAGGATCATTAGCCATCATGAAATCAAGTCAGCCACAGTGAGGTTTCCCCTCATACCAGTTGGAATGGCTTTCAGACAGAAATCAAGAAATAGCAAACCTTGGCAAGGATGTGAAGAAAAAGGTACTCCAATATACATTGGTGGGAATGTAAACTGGTGCAGCCACTGTGGAAGACAGTATGGAAATACCTCAGAAATCTAAATATAGATGTACCATATGACCCAGACATCTCACTGCTAAGAATTTACCCAAAGAAATTGAAATCAGCATATGAAAGAATGATTTGTACTCCCCATGTTTATTGCAACTCAATTCACAAAAGATAAGATGTAAAATTGACCCAGATGTCCATTAATTTAAGACTGGATAAAGAAATTATGGTATATATACTCTATGGAATACTATACAGCAGGGAAAAATGAAATCCTGTTCTTTGCGACAAAATGATGCAACTGGAAACCATTATACTTAGTGAAATAAACAAGTCCCCAAAAGACAAATACCATATGTTTTCCCTGATCTGTGGCAACTAAGAGAGTACTGAAAAGCTATTCCATAGGAGTGAAATTGGTACTTTGAGATGTGATGATTTTTAATAGCCCTTGTCCCAACTGTTGAGGAACAGTGTTTTTTATTCTTCATACTATTTGTTGAACTCTTTACGTCGTGTATGGTTAATTTTATGAGTATAAACTTAACTGAAAATAATATATTTTTGAAAAAATAAGAATGGGAATAGGAGAGGGAGATGGAAAAAGTATGGGAGGGCTGGTGGGAGGGAGGGTAGAGTAGGAAGAATCACTGTGTTCCTAAATTTGTGTGTATAAAATGCATGAAGTTTGTATACCTAAATAATTTTTTAAAGTGCAAAAAAATAAATAAATAAAAATTTTTAAGAGTGGTGAAAGTGGACATCTTTGTCTTATTCGAGATCTGAGGGGAAATTATTACATCTTTTCCTTGTTCAGTATGATATTGGCTTTTGGTTTGTGGTATAAAACGTTCATTGTTTTGTGGAATATTCTTTCTATGCATATTTTGTGGAGGGTTTTTATCATGAAGGGGTGGTAAATCTTATCAAATACTTTCTCTGCATCTATTGAAATGACCATATCATTTTTGTGCATTTTATTGATGTGATTTATGACATTTGTTTATTTGTAATTGTTGAACCAGCCTTGCATTTCTGGGATAAATCCCACTTGATCTTAATGTATGTTCTTCTTGATATGGTTTTAATTTGCTTGTATTTTGTTGAGAATATTTGCATCTATGTTCATTAAGGATATAGGTCTATAGTTTTCTTTTCATGTTGTGTCTTTGTTTCATTTTGTTATCAAAGTGATGCTGGCCTCATAAAATAGTTTGGGAGGGTTCTAGCCTGTTCAATATTTTGGAATAGCTTGGAGACTATTGGACTTACTGTTTCTATGAATGTTTTGTAGAATTTAGTTGTTAAGGCATCAGGTCCTGGAGTTCCTTTGATGGAAATGGAGCATCTGGGACTCAAACATGCACCCATATGGGACACCAGTGCTACAGACCTCAGCGTAACGTGCTGAGTTGCAGTGCTGGACCCTACTGAATTAATTTCTTAATTTTGATTTTTTTGGTGGAATCTTTACACATTATATGTAAACAATAAAATAATATTGTATACAAAAAAGAGATAATTTTACCTTCTTTCTTATTTGGATGCAACTTACATTTTTTTCTTGCTTTTACTTTGGCTAATAGTTGATGCAATTTGATTTTTTTAAATGTCTTTTGGATTTCTGTAATAATGTAAATTTTTATATCAAATTTGGGGGCCAGTGCTGTGGCATAGTAGGCTAAGCCTCTGTATGCAGTGTGAACATCCCAAATGGGCACTGGTTTGTGTCCTGGTTGTTCCTCTTCTGACCCAGCTCTCTGCTGTGGCCTGGGTAAGTAGTGGAAGATGCCCCTGTACTTGCATGGAAGACCCAGAAGAGACTCCTGTCTCCTGGCTTCTCATTGGTTCAGCTCTGGCTGTTTTGACCATTTGGAAAGTGAACCAGTGGATGGAAAACCTTTCTCTCTGTCTCTCCCTTTCTCTATCTGTAACTCTTCCTCTCAAATAAATAAAATCTTAAATTTGTGTTCATAGCATAACTTTGGAAGATAATTTTTACATTCTCTTTATGGATGAGAGGAACCGAGTCTTAGATATTATGTTGATTTCTTTGAAACACTTTAGAATTTGTATGATGTAGAAGTGATATTTGAGCTTATTTTTCTGATTGTAAAATGTATTCTCTTTCTGTTATATCACAATATTTAGTTAATTTCTCTTTTCCTAGGTAAGAATTCAGTAACTGGGAAAGGGAGTAAGTTAATAACAGTGATCTTATAGGACTTTTATTGCTAAATATACTTATTTATGTTTACATATACAATGTTTTATAGGCAGTGATTTGGGAAATGATGATGCTATCGGAGGGAATGTCAGCAAACATGCAGTACTTCCAGTTGGATACTGTGGACAGCTGAAGAAAGGACATCTTGTATTTGATGCCTGCTTTGAGAGTGGTGAGTATATTAAATGCTTTTTTGCCTTTTATCATATCTGGTGAAGCTCTTTTCAGAATATAATTTCATCAATGTGGTTCAACCTGTTTATTTAATATTTTACCATCATGGAAAAATCACTTTGCAGGAATTTGCTTAGAAATACTGAATTTTTGTTGGTATAAATGATTAAAACTATAGCTAATAGTAATAATAATGAATATTTGTATAGCACTTTGTATTTTACAGAGTACTTTCTGAAGTCTTATTCATTTTGGGATAGAAATGGCATGACTTAGACTATATTATATATTATTATTTATTGAATTTCTACTATCCCTGGTTCTGTATGACTTGCACACAGAACTTTGGGAAAGAGGGGCTTTTGTATAAAAAAATGACAATGGAAGAGATTCAAGTAAATAACAAACAAAGACTACAGGTAATAATGCCTTATAATTTACAAATTCTTGGAATATTCTGAGATCAGGGCTTCATTATACATTTCCATTCAGCAGGAGTTAGAACTCTCTTCATGTTGTGAACCTCTGCTCTAAAAAGCTCATACTAGGTGCTCAGAATATGTTGAAAATAAAAATGAGAAAGGTAAACATTATTTTACAAGTAATTGTTTTGGTTGTGCATTTTTTGTGTGTTTGTATGTGTGTGTGTGTCTCAAGGGAGGTACAGGTATCAGTTATTTGACAGTTGAGTCCAAAGAACATTGATTGATTATTCCAAAATAATCTGATTATGCAAAATTTTTCTCTGTGATTAGGCCACATTGTATTAGTTTGATAGTACTTATACAACAAAGAATCACAAACTATACTCAGTAAAGATTTCAACAGATTGCACCCACATACACAAAGTATAGAGTACTGTTTGAGTAGTAGTTTTACTGTTAATTCACATAGTACAACAAATTAAGGACAGAGAGTCTACATGGGGAGTAGGTGCATAGTGACTCCCATTGTTGATTTAACAATTGACACTCTTATTTATGACATCAGTAATCACCTGAGGCTCTTGTCATGAGATGCCCAGGCTATGGAAGCCTCTTGGGTTCACCAACTCCAATCTTATTTAGACAACGCCATAGTCAAAGTGGAAGTTCTCTCCTCCAATCAGAGAAAGATATGCCTACTTTGATGGCCCATTCTTTCTGCTGGGATCTCACAGAGATCTTTCATTTAGGTCATTTTTTTTTTTTTGCCAGAGTGTCTTGGCTTTCCATGCCTGGGAAACTCTAATGGGCCTTTTAGGCAGACCGGATACCTTAAGGGCTTATTCTGAGGCTAGAGTGTTGTTTAGGACATCTATCATTCTATGAGTCTGCTGTGTATCCCACTTCCCATGTTGGATCATTATAACTTTTGATTCTAACAATTATTATTAGAAGACACTAGTCTGGTTTATGTAATCCCTTTGACACTTAATCCTATCATTAAGATCAATTATGAACTTAAACTGATCACTTTGATTAGTAAGATGGCATTGGTACATGCCACTTTGATGGGATTGAATTAGAATCCCTTGGAATGTTTCTAGCTCAACCATTAGGGGTAAGTCCGAGTGAGCATGTGCTGGACTGTACATCTCCTCCCTCGCTTATTCCCACTCTTATATTTAACAGAGATAACTTTTCAGTTAATTTTAAACACCTAAGAATAATAGTGTGTTTTCCATGCTCATGGATTGGAAGAATAAATATCATCAAAATGTCCATTCTCTCAAAAGCAATTTATAGATTCAATGCGATACCAATAAAAATACCAAAGCCATTCTTCTCAGATCTAGAAAAAAATGATGCTGAAATTTATATGGAGGCACAGTAGACCTCGATTAGCAAAACCAATCTTGTACAACAAAAACAAGGCCAGAGGCATCACAATATCAGATTTCAAGACATACTATAGGACAGCTATAATCAAAACAGCATGGTACTGGTATAGAAACAGATGGATAGACTAATGGAACAGAACAGAAACACCAGAAATCAATCAAAACATCTACAGCCAACTCATATTTGATCAAGGATCTAAAACCAACTCCTGGAGCAAGGACAGTCTATTCAACATATGGTGCTGGGAAAACTGGATTTCCACATGCAGAAGCATGAAGCAAGACTTCTACCTTACACCTTACACAAAAAACCACTCAACATGGATTAAAGATCTAAATCTAAGACCCCACACCATCAAATTATTAGAGAACATGGGAGAAACCCTGCAAGTTATAGGCACAGGCAAGGACTTCTTGGAAAAGAACCCAGAGGCACAGGCAGTCAATGATAGAATCAACTATTGGGATTGCATCAAATTGAGAAGTTTCTGTACTCTCAAAAGAAACAGTCAGGAAAGTTAAGAGACAACCGACAGAATGGGAAAAAATATTTGCAAACTATGCAACAGATAAAGGTTTAATAACCAGAATCTACAAAGAGATCAAGAAACTCCACAAAAACAAAACCAACAACCCACTTAAGAGATGGGCCAAGGACCTCAATAGACATTTTTCAAAAGAGGAAATCCAAATGGCCAACAGGCACATGCAAAAATGTTCAAGATCACCAGCAATCAGGGAAGTGCAAGTCAAAACCACAATGAGGTTTTACCTCACCCCGGATAGAATGGCTTACATATAGAAATCTACCAACAAGAGATGCTGGCGAGGATGTGAGGAAAAAGGGACACTAACCGACTGTTGGTGCTAATGCAAACTGGTAAAGCCACTGTGGAAGACAGTTTGAGATTGCTCAGAAACCTGAATATAGACCTACCACATGATCCAACCATCCCACTCCTTGGAATTTACCCAAAGGAAATTAAATTGGCAAATAAAAGAGCTGCCTGCACCTCAGTGTTTATTGCAGCTCAATTCACAATAGCTAAGACATGGGAACAACCTAAATGCCCATCAACAGTAGACTAGATAAAGAAATGATGGGACATGTACTCTATAGAATACTACACAGCAGTAAAAAATGAAATCTGGCATCTGGAGGAATCTGAAAAACATCATGCTGAGTGAAATGAGCCAGTCCCAAAAGGACAAATATCATATGTCCTCCCTGATCGGTGGCAACTAACTGAGCACCTAAAAGGAAACCTGTTGAGAAATGGACACCATGAGAAACAATGACTTGGTCAGCCCTTGTCCTGACTGTCAAGGAATTATTTACTGTTTTATTCCTTTTAGTATTTTTTTGTTCTACTTAACACCATTGTTTGACATCATAATCAGCAAATGCATAATGTATATTTTACCAATAATGTACAAACAATTGGTTCTGTCAGTTAGATGTTTAGTAGTAATGCATGAGCTTTGCAGTATAGTGTGATAGCTGGGAGTAAGGCTATAGTTCAAATCCTAATTAAAAAATGAACCACAGTGTGTGCATAATATTTACAATACATTACATAAATGTGATACATATTAATATAAATATATATTCCCTTATTTAAGACCTTAAGCCACCTGAAATAATGATAATTTTAAAATGGGTGGTGAGAAAATCTTAAAAATGTGATGTTAGTTAGTACAAAGAAGACTTATCAAATTGGGATTTCCATGTCCCAGGCTCCATAAGGTTCTTCCCACATATCCACATTCCTACTTACTGGAGTCCATTGTGTCCTATTCATTGGCCTTAGGTAAATAGTAGACACTTTGTCAACTTGGTAGTTCAACTTGCATTGTTATTCAGCCTGTGAGAGGATGAGGTTCTGAATTTGATTTCTAGCAATTTTAGTGCTGTGGTTACAGGAGATAAAGGTCTTCTTCAGGCCATACATAGAAGCTCTCATATGTGGTGCTTAATCTGGCAATTTGAATCCCTAAATCATCCTTCTGTCCCACCACTTTTTCTAGTCACATTAGGAGGAATTGATGAAATTGTTACTTTTGCAAAAATATTTGGGGCCAGTGCTGTGGCATAGTGGTAAAGCCTCCATCTGCAGTGCTGGCATCCCATATGGGTACCAGTTCAAGTCCTGGCTGCTACGCTTCTGATCCAGCTCTCTGCTCTGGCCTGGGAAAGCAGTAGAAGATAGCCCACATTTTTGCGCCCCTATACCCATGTGGGAGGCCTGGAAGAAGTTCCTGGCTTCAGATTGGTGCAGTTTTGGCTGTTGTGGCCTTCTGGAGGGTGAACCAGTGGATGGAAAACTTTATTTTTTTGACAGGCAGAGTTAGACAGAGAGAGAGATACAGAGAGAAATGTCTTCCTTCCGTTGGTTCAGCCCCCAAATGGCTGCTGTGCACTTTGCCAATATGAAGCCAGGTGCCAGGTGATTCCTCCTGGTCTCCCATGCGGGTGTAGGGCCCAAGCACTTGGACCATTCGCCACTGCCTTCCTGGGCCATAGCAGGGAGCTGGACTTGAAGAAGAGCAACTGGGACAGAATCCAGTGCCCCAGTTGGGACTAGAACCCGGGGTGCCGGCCCCACAGGCGGAGGATTAGCCTAGTTAGCCGTGGCACCGGCCTAACATCTCTTTCTCTGCATCTGCCTCTCTGTAACTCTTTCTAACAGATAAATAAATCTTTTAAAAATGTTTAGGTATCATATCCATAGTTACCCAACTCTTTGCTTTTCATATAAGTGACTGATTAGGGTTATCTACTGTAGATATTCAGTATGTATCTATAAACAATTCATGCCATGGATTACCAGCATTCTGTTACTGGAAATAGCATCTTTAAGTCTGACCACATCAAATACCTGGTTGTAAAAACTCCAGAACCAATTCAGAAAACTTAAAATTCTGTTTATTTGAGAACTACTTGCTACACAAAACTCTGTATTAATTAGGGTTCTCCAGAATCACAGAATTAATATGTTATTATGGGTAATTGACTCATGCAATTATTGAGGCTAAGAAGTCTCATGATATCTCACCTATAAACTGGAGATCCAGAAATGCCACTGATATAATTCCACACCAGGTCAGCCAGTATTGTAAATCCTAGTCCAAGCATAGAAGACCAATGTCCCAGCTCAAGTTGGTAGACAGGAAGC